CTGTATCTAATAGGTGTCGTTTCCTATTATGAAAGAGAGAACTTGCCAGCGCCTTTCATCAGTGGGAGAATGCCAGTGCCAGATTAGTCAGATCTGAAGTCTCCTTGCAGGAATATGCTCAGATGACTAACATTGTGTCATTCATAGGTAGCTGTAGCTAGTTTGCATTCTTCTTCATAGAGAAAGCTCATTCAGAAAAACACTGGGAACCACAGGAAAGGAGAGGGCTAGCAAGTCTAACTTTTGTTTTCTATTTTCTTTTTTTTTATTAAAATTTTTTTATTATTTTTATTTTATGTGTATGCGTGTATTACCTGTGTGTAGGTAAGTGCACCCATGTTGTGCAATGCCCATGGAGGACAGATCCCCTGGAACTGGAATTATGAACAGTTGTTAGTTGCCATATGGGTGCTGGGATTCGAACCCGAGTCTTCTGCAAGAACAGAACAGTGTTCTTAACTCACCACTGAGCCATCTCTCCAGACCTGTTTTTTTTTTTTTTTTTTTCTGGTCTTTTTGAGACAGGGTCTCCCTGTAGCCCCAGCTGTCCTGGAACTCTCTATGTAGACCAGGCTGGCTTTGAACTCACAGAGATCTGCCTGCCTCTGCTGGGATTAAAGGCATGTGCCACCACGCCTGGCTTCTGTTTTTGTTTTTTGAAACAACCAGTGTTCTTAACCGCTGAGCCATTTCTCCAGCCCTCCTAAGTTCTATTTTCAGTGGCCGTGTGTGTGTGTGTGTGTGTGTGTGTGTGTGTGTGTGTGTGTTATTCTATCCAGTGTAGCTTTTATCTGGTTTCCAGTAGGGAAAACACAAAATACTCATGTTCCTAATTTCTGCTTTTACTAGCAAGTTTGGTGATCCTTGCAAATGTATGGAAAAGGTGCAGTTCTCTGTATGTGCTGTACCTAAAAAAGAAAAAGGAAAGGCGGAAGGAAAGTAGTTGGGATAAAACAAAACATGGTGGGTAATCCCAACACTCAGGAACAGAGGCAGGTGGAGCTCTATGAGAGTGAGGCCAGTCTGGTGTACATAGCGAGTTGCAGGACAGCTAGGACTACAGGAGGAAGACCCTGTTACACACACACACACACACCACACACACACACACACACACACACACACACACCACTAAACCATAATTTGTTTATATAAGCAAATGTTCACTGTCGTGAATTAGGCTCCCCAGTTAATTTGCAAATGGGAATGCCACATAGACATGGCACAGGCTTATCTGATGAAGGAAATTCCTCAGCTGAGGTTTCCCAGGTGTGTTGACAACTGATGCTAACTATGACAGTAAGGCTCTGGGTTCGAGCCCCAGTAACACACACACACACACACACACACACACACACACAGACCTGGGAATGGTGGCATATGACACCTGTAACCTTAGCACCCTGGAGACTGAGGCAGGAAGATTCCCAGCTAGAGGCCAACCTGGGATAAGTACTTTTAGGAGACCTTGCCACAAAATAAAAACAAAACCAGAAAAACAAGTCCCCATATTGGTGCAGGAGGTACAGGAAGACGGTGGCTCAGTGCCTTCCTCCTTTCTAGTCCTAATGCCTGTGGTACCTTCTTGAGCATCTGAACTAGACAGACAACAGGGTGTGTCAGCAGAGCCCCAAGCTGGGACAGCCACATAATGAGGGCCTGGATCCCACCATTAGGGTTCAGAGGAGGAGCCAGGCTCCCTGCTTCTCTGCGTGTGGCTGAGCCAGTCTTCTACTCTATGAAGGAACTGAGGAGGCACATGAGGCTGTCTCTAGGTCAAGAGCTGAGCAGCACAGGCAGTAAGTGGGCTTCCTCCTGGGTCTCAGCTGGGACTGGTACTGGTCTCCAGCCCAGAGCTGCCTCCACTACCATCAGGAGCACCCACAGAAGCACTCCAATGAGCAGTTCCCATGACACACAAGGGACCCAGCAGCCAGAGGAGGAGAATAGTATGGGCCTTCCAACAGAGGAAACAGGTGGGCTGGGAATAACACAGTAACATGCACATTTTAGGGTATGCAAACACAGTATACAGTTACTGCCTTGAATTTAGATTTTTTAGTCAGTAGGTAGATTAGATGCAGTTAGTGGCTCACAGGACAAAGTAGGAGAAGCCCAGAGATGTGAGTCAATTCAGAGAGGAACTGTGAAGAAGGACAAGGCCTCAGAGGGACAGATCCAGGACCAGCACAGGAACGGCAGGAGTTCCAGGAGGGAGGGAGCCCAAGACAAGAAATACTGGCCACACAGGAGAAGAAATTAGACTTGAGCTGAAAAAAAGTTTGAAAAGTTCACCAAGTTCCAGGTAGGAATGTGTTTAAAAGGGGATGAGAGAGCTGGAGAGATGGCTCAGAGGTTGACACTTGCTGCTATTGCAGAAGACCCAGGTTCAGTTCCCAGCACCCATGTCAGGTGGCTTGCAATCACCTGTGACTCCAGCTCCAGGGGATCTGACCCTCTCTTCTGGCTTCCATGGGCACTTGCATGCATGTGCACATACCCACTCACACGTGGATACACATAATTAAAAGTAAAAATAAAATATTTTTTAAAAAGCTTTTTATTTTATGTGTATGAATGTATTGCCTGCATGTATGTGAGTGCACTCATGTCATGCAGTGCCACAGAGATCAGAAGAGGGTATCAGATTCCCCTGGAACTGCAGCTAAGGATGGTTCATAGCCGCCATGTGGGAGCTGGGAATCGAACCTGGGCCCTCTTACAAGAGCAGTCAGTGCTCTTAACTGCTGAGCCATCTCTCCAGCCCCAATAAAAATAAAATCTTTAAGAACAACTATTTAAAAAAAATTTTAGGGGCTTGGAGAGATGGCCCAGTGGTTAAAAGCACTGGCTGCTCTAGCAGAAGACCTAAATTTGGTTCCCAGCACCTACGTGGTGGATCACAACTATCTGTAACTTCAGTTCCAGGGTGCCTGACACCCTCTTCTGGCCTCCATGGGCACCAGACACACATGTGGTGCACATACATACATGCAGGCAAATGCTTGTGCACATAAAAAATACAATAAATCCTTAAGAAAACTTAAAAAAATTTTTTAAATTTTATGTGTGTGTGTATTGCCTGCATGTAAGTAAGTGCACCCACGTAGAGACATGTAATTAGATATACTCTGATAAAATTCCTGATTCCAAAAATGAAGGGAAAAAAAGTCTTTAAAATAGTCTAGGCACCAGAAGCCAATGTCTTAAAAAGAAAGATTTATTTTTAATACTTTGTGTGTGTGTGTGTGTGTGTGTGTGTGTATGCCACATGTATACAGGTGTCTATGGAGGCCAGAAGAGGGCATCAGATCCCTTGGAGCTAGAGTTAGTGCTGGGATCTGAACTCTGGTCCTCATGATAGAGCAGCAAGTGCACTGAACCACTGAGCCATCTCTCCAGCCCCCAAGGAGCCAATGTCTCTACTAGAGGAAGAAACATCAGAGTTTCCCAACAGCCTCAAGGTCCCTGAGAGGAGAGGCCTTCACCTTGGGAAATCTACCACTTGTCCTCTTATCCCTCACCCCTCTGAGGAATGATGCCTAGCCAACATGGCAGGCATTCAGACTCCTAGTTCAGGTCCTAGTTCCAGGCCTTGTTTACTGTAGCCTTCTGCATATTTCTTGGAAATTTTGTCATCAGTGAAATGGGAATGATAACAGCACCTCCTACAGAGGGCTCTGTGAGGGCTCAGCAAGTGAGATGCCCACTGCCTTTAACAGTTCAGTTAACACAAAGCAAGTGTTTGCCTCATTATTTCTAAAATACAGTAGCAATATTAGTATCAGTAAGATGAAAGTCTTAAATGCTCTAAAGAATAAAGGTCATTAGAGAACGGCAGCAAACACTTTTATCATAATTCATGTACAAAATAAAATGGCAGTGTATCTTACAATGGGAGAATTCAGAATTCCTCTTTCACAGCTGGAGAGATCCAGCACACAGGAATAAATAAGATCACACAAAAACAAATAATGTGAACTCATGGCAATACACAATGTTGAACATTTTATTCCCCAGATAGGAAATATATATCTTTGCAGGCTTATGGGATGTTTCAAAAAATCAGTCACGTGCCACAAAGTATATTCAAAATGTAAAATCTTGCAGATCTTTTTATCATAAGCCAATACAATGAAAATTAAATAGTAAAAACAACCACAGGGCCTGGTGTGGTGGTGCTCACATTTAATCCCAGCACCTTTACATAGCAAGTTCTAGGCCAGCCAAGGCTACATAATGAGACTTTGTCTCAAAAACAAAACAAAACATCCACAGGGCAGTGAAATGACTCACAGGGAAAAGAACACGCTGCCGAGCCTGAGAGCCTGAGTTCAATCCCAGGACCCACAACGTAGAAGGAGAGAATGGACTTCTGCAGTTGTACACACACACACACACACACACACACACACACCACACACATAACGCATGCATGCATGCACACACATGCATACATATAATAAGTAAATATACAAATGTAATAAGAATTTTTAAGAACAACTACAAAAACTTAACAGCCTAAAATGAAGACACACAGTTTTAATTCTGTTTTTATTTTTGGTTTTTGAGACAGAGTTTTGCAATGTAGCCTTGGCTGGCCTCAAACTCAAGATCTTCCTACCTCAGCTTCCGGAGTTCTGGGATTATAGGCCTGTGCTACCATGCCTGCCAACTCTTAATTAATTTTGAGTTATCCCTAGATAGATCAAATAAAAAATCAAAACTAAAATTAAAATAATTAAAATAAAATAACGGGGCCTGGGCATGCTGGTACATACCTGTATCCAGCACTGGGGAGGCTGAGGCAGGAGGATGGCAAGTTAAGAGACCAGCCTTGGTCACATAGTAAGATGCTGTCTCGAAAGACAAGTTGACTGTTAAAAAGAACTCTTTATGAAAAAACGAGTTACGCATTCATGTTCTCTCCCAAATTACGAAACTCTTCGTAGTCGTCCATGAATTTGCCAGTGACCCTGAGTGGGCTTTGTATTGCGCAGGTTCTCCAGGAGCAGATCCGGGCCAGGGACAACATCAGCTATGGAACTAATTCTGCCTTAAAGACGCTGGAAATGCGCCAGCTCTCTGGCTTAGGAGACCTCCGAGGAAGAGTAGCAAGGTAGGTGTGCCCGTTACTGTCCTCATTGCTGTGACCAAATACCTGGTAGAAGCAACTTCAGGAAGCAAGGGTTTCTTTTGGCTCACTCCGAGGGTTCGGCCCGTCATGGTGGGGAAGGCGTGGCGGCAGGAGCACGAGGCAGCTGTTCACATTGTCCACAGTCCGGAAGTGGAGAAAGGTGAATGCTCAGCTCTCTTTCATCTTTGTGTTCAGTCTGGGACCCCAGCCCATGGGACCCTGTTGCCCACACTTGGGTAAACCTCTCTGCAAATTCTCTCACAGCCATGCCCAGAGGTGGGACTCCTAGGTCATTCTAAATTTAGTCAAGTTGGCGGTCAAGATGAACCATCACAGCAAGCGTTCAAATGTTGGGCGCAGCTACTGAATTAGAATCTGGTTTTTAACAAGCTCCCTGGATTCCTGTGTGCATAGATGTTTGAGAAGCCTGGCACAGGGCTGTGCTCACTATTATTTTTAGCCCGCTGGGATGAGGTTGTTCAGATTATGTATGGGCCTCTTCTGCCCTCTGCTGCTATTGACAACAAAACGCCGAGTATGAAGCTGTAAGGGCGATTTGGAGCCAAGAGGCACTTCCAATCAGCCTGCATGTTCTGCACAGAGGAGCAGAGGAAGGCGTCCAGTACAGGGGCCCGCAGGGGCTAGGGCATCGTTAGAGCAGAGGGGCTGTGTTAGGTATATTTGTGCAGAAACCACAAATGTGCCTTGTATGCTAACAAGTGTACTGGAGCTTGCCAGGTAAAGATCAATTTAATAACAGGCTACAAGGGTTGAATGAAGGAAAGGGTAACTACTTTCCAACGGTTTTGTTTGTTATTGAGACAGTCTTGCTCTGCAGCCCCAGTAGTCTGCATTATGCTTCTCCCACCTTGGCCTCCCAAGAGCTGAGATTACAGGCCCGTTCCACCATGCCTTGCCCTTCTATCATTTTCTATTCTCATTAGGATGGACTCTAGTCTCCCTAGTGTGACCCTTGGTGATAGACACCTCCCAACCTCCTCACCTCTCCTTACCCTTGTCCTGTACCTTTTAGGCATGGCTGACCCTATGTGAATGCCCCAGTGGGCCCAGTCTCCTATCACTGTGCCTTGGTACATGCTGCTCTTGTACTGAGCACTTTTTCCTCCTTTTCCAGCTGATTGTCCATCTTTTTTTTAATTTTATGTGTATGAGTGTTTAGCCTGCACATATGTAAGTTTGCCACATATATGCAATGCCTGTGGAGGCCAGAAAAGAACATTGGATGCTCTAGAACTGGAGTTATGGATGGTTGCTAGCCACTTTATGGGTGCTGGGAACTGAACCCAGGCCCTCTGCAAGCAGACAGTGCTCTTAACCACTGAGCTACCTCTCCACCCCCTGGTTGTCCATCTTTAAAGTTCAGTTACCAGTGCACCATACTCTGGAGTCTCCTGACACCCCTACTTTGCAGAACTCCCCAGAACTGCAGCTCCATCCAGTCCCTCTGTCATCTTCCTTACTGTCTTGGAATAGGGATCCATTATCCATAGCCAAGTGTCTGGAACAGTCTGTGGAAAACAGTAAATACTCAACAAATGTTTGGATGAATAAATGAAGTAGAAATATCACTGATCTAGAAATAGGACTGAAAAATCTTGATTCTCTGTTTGTGGATATAGGTTTAAAAGAACCCCAAGTTCTGTGATGCCACTCAGAACAGCAGAAAGGACTTGAAAGCCACAGGGCAGAGCAGGACTTAAGGAGGATGCTGAGTGCCTTCGCAGCCACTGTTTTAGTCAAGAGTGTCTAGAGGAACAGAACCAAGAGAGTGAATATATGTATACATCTGGGTAGTCAAACAAGGCTGTCTGCACACTGGAGAGACTGAGAACCAGTAGGTGCTTGGTCCATGAGGCTGGACCTCAGCAGTCCCAATGCTAAGGGCCTGGGGATTCCTGGAGAAGTGCTCGCTGGTCTTCAGTGCATGCTGGAAATCTGAAAAAAGCTGGAGTCTGATGTCAGCAGAGGAATGTAGCAGGTGTGGCAGTGGCAACAGCGGCAGCAGCGGCAGTGTAGATGAGCTCACCAGTGAGACCTGAAGGCAATAAGGCAAAAGGCAAAGCTTTTAGTTGGGTTGCCACGGAAAGGTGCTGCCCACATTTTGGGTGGGTCTTCCCACTTCAAATAATCTGATCAAGAAAAATTCTTCACAGGTATGCCCAGCAGCTAGCTTCAGTCAAGTTGGCAGCCAAGATGAACCATCACAGCTGCTGTAGGTGCAGCAGGGGAAGGAGGGAGCATGCCACAAATAGTAGCTATTGTCACCTCAGCGGTGGTGTCTTTATGGCACCAGATCCATACAAAGTAGAGGAATTCTCTTGACATACCTTCTGGAATCTTCCATTTGTCTTCAGCTTCTAATCAACTTCTCTGCCCAACTTGTCCCTTCCCTGTTAAACACTTTTGTTCTAAAACCATCTGAAGAGTTTGTTATAAGCAGCAGATATTTTGGGTTTGTTTTGTGGCTATATCTGTCTCACTCTTGGAAAGCTAATGAGACTTTGTTGAAATGAATTCATGTGAGATGAGAACTCGTTGGCAAGGTTTGGACTTTCTTGAATCAATTACATAATTGTATTGAAGAAGTTTGAGCTTTTAAAGTGATAATACTGAATTACTAGGTTGGTACATCATTTCAGATTCAATTGTTCAGTTTTATGGCTGTCTTAATGTGTTAGTAGTAACAGGCCCTGGGTGGATCTAGGTCAGAAGAGCACAGGTAGATTCTCATTGGAGGTGAAGAACAGCCACCCCACTCAGCATAATGCATCTTAAATAGGACTTGGTCAGAGATTTTCCATTACTTTTGGAAGCAAGGCTCAAGTTTAGCTTTCTAACTCCTGATGCGATATTTGGTCCTGTATCTGGAACACTGTCTCCTCTTCTACAAAACTCAGTGGCCATGTCCTTTCTTCTGTGATGAGGGTGTGCCTGGTGGCAGAGTTTTAGAGGAGAAACGACCATGCACTGAGGCAGAAGTTCCCACCCACCTGCTAACTGGGATTTAGAGGAGGGTCTTCATGAATGGAACCCTTTTGGGGTTCCATTGGCCCAACAGAGACCACAATTCATATTCTCTCTCTCTTTCTCTCCCTCCCTCCCTCTCTCCTCTATTGCTCTTTATGAAGAGATTTAGTGAGATATAATTCACATATAAGTCACCTATTTAAAGTATATAATTCAGGAAGCTGGGGTGGCTCATTGGTTAAGAGCATATACTGCTTTTGCAGAGTACCAAAGTTCAGATCTGACACCCTTTTCTGACATCAGTAGGTACGCACACACACACACACACACACACACACACACACACACACACACATGGCATTCACACACATGATTAAAATTAAAACAAAATTTTTTTGGTCTTTTTGAGACAGGGTCTCCCTGTAGCCCCTATTTTTTAAAAAGATAGATAATGCATATTAATGAAACTGTAGAGAAACCTGAACCTCACACACTGCTGGTGCCAGTGTGACTGGCATGACCACTGTGCAGCGCTCTGGTACCGGTGTGATGGCATGACCACTGTGCAGCGCTCTGGTACCGGTGTGATGGCATGACCACTGTGGAAAGTGTCTAGCTGCTCCGCTTCTCCAAAGGTGAAATGTAAACTTACTGTTAACACTCAGCCATTCCACTCTGGGTCCATCTCCAAAAGAAATGAAAACTGGGCCATACAAAAACTCATAAGCAAATGCTCACAGCACTTACAACAGCCAAAAAGTTGAAACAATACAATTGATGTATAAACAAAATGTGTTATACAGTGAGATATTACTAACCCACAGAAGGATTGAAGTAAGTGCTGATGCACTTTACATGGATGGGCTCTGAAAATGCTATGCCAAGTATAAGGAGCTGGGCCTAAAGGACCATGTATGTTATGAGCATATGAGCCCATTTACAGGAAATATCCAGGAGAGGCAAATCCATTAGATACACAAAGTATTTTGTGGTCACTATGGATTGGGGGAGGCAGGTGACTGCAAATGGCTATGAGGTTTCTTCCTGAATAATATAAATGTTCTAAAATGAATTGTAATAGTTGCACAGTGAACGTACCAAAACCAACTGAATCATGTACTTTAAAGTATGTGCACATGTGAGTATAGTACCTGCAGAAGCCAAAAGAGGGCATTGGATCTCCTGGAGCTGGAATTATAGGCAGTTATGAGATGCCAGATGTGGGTGCTAGGAAACAAACTTAGGGGCTCCGGAAGAGCAGCAAGGCTCTTAATCTGACTTCTTCAACCTCTGTCTTTTTGTTGTTGTTGTTCTTTTTAAGACAGGGCCTCTTTGTAGTCCCAGCTGGCCTGGAACTATGTAGACCAGGCTAGCCTTGATCTCATAGAGATCCTCCTGCCTCTGCCTCCTGAGTGCTGGGACTAAAGGAGTGTGCCACTATGCCCAGCAGCCGTTGTTCATGCCTTTAAACTTTGGTAAGAACCTGTGTTGTTTGCTTGGACAGATGCGACGCCAGCATAGCCAGACTCTCTGCCGAGCATAAGACAACCTACGAGGGCCTCCAGCACTTGAACAAAGAACAGCAAGCTGCCAAGCTGATCTTGGAAACAAAAATCAAAGACGCAGAAGGACAGGTACAGCCTGGTGCAGACACCTTTTAAATGCAGGGAATTTGTTCTCAGCTAAGAATAACATGGTGTTGATATTTCTTGCAGGGTAACCAGCTGGTGCCCCCAGCGTGGGTTCATGCAAATCCTAAGCATCTCTTTTCTTCACTTCTTTCTTTCCTCTTTCTCACTGGAGTGGCCCTTCATGAATCTGGCAGCCAAATCACTGAGAGAGTTTTCGGCACAGTGCCAATTAAAGATTTTTTTCCCTTATTCATAAAAATTCATATATCCCAGAAATTCTAAACTCTACCTCCAAATCTACCTCTCACACTGGTAAATGATCCAACATTGCTTTGCAAGCTGCTCATCCTGGGCTTTGATTCAGGGAATCATTTCTTTAATGACTGGGAGTCACTGTGTGCGCTCACCTTCTTGTGGTCTTAATGTGAGATGCCCTTAGGGGGAAGCTGGAGGGCAAGTGCATGAACCTCAGAATATTCTACCTTGAAATTCAATGATTAACTTCCAAAGCCAAGCTCTTGGCATTTTGCAAGTGGGTTCTGTTTGCTGATGACTTACAAGTTTCCCTCCTAGGGCTTTTAATATCTGCCTCATTTACTGTCCTTCATTTAATGAGAGACTATTCTAGAAAAGTAGGGGCATCTGGGTATTTTACTGGATTAAAACTGGGATGGAGTGGTGAGATGGGGTGGATCAAGGAGGAGTTAGGGGAGGAGTTGGGGTGAATAGGATCAAAATACATGGTATGCATGTATAAAATTCCAAATAATTAATAAAAATATTTAAAAAATACCCCTTAACTCCCTCCAGCAAAGCTCTGAAACTAGTTAAATGAAAAACATAGGTATTATAAAACTTCAAATTGGAAAAAAAAGAATTAAAAGGCAGGCTTTTGCATTTCTGTTTGTTTTGTTTTTAAGAATAAGAGGGATTTTGCCTGGTGATGTAGGCCTCTAATCCCAGATACTTTGGAGACTGAAGCAGGAGGATCCCATATTCAAGTCTTGTCTGAGCTGTAGAGTGAGTTCAAGGCCAGCCCCAGCAACTTAGACACTGGCTCAAAACAAAAATAAAGACAATGAGCTGGCAAGATGGCTCAGTAAGTACAGGCACTTGCAACCAAGCCTCATGACTTGAGTTCAATACCCAGGAAACACATAGTGGAAGGAGAGAGAGAGAACTGACTTCTGAAAGTTGTCCTCTGACTTCCACACGTATGTGCCTCACTTCCATGGCACACGCACACATCTACACACATAATCACAAAATAGATAAATAAGTAAATGTTTAAAAAAGTGTTTTTTAAGGAAAGACAAAGCTAGGATGTAGCTCACAGGGAGACTACCTGCCTAGCACAGGCCTGAGTGTCAGTCCCTGCTACTGGAAAAGAAAAAAAGGACGAGTGAGAATGAACTTATAGAAGTCTATCAAAAGAAGACATACTTCATTTTCTGTTGTTCCAGATCTAATAGATCCAGATCTAATAGCAGGGTGTGACGGTGCACGTTTTTAATCCGAACACTTGGGAAGCAGAAGCAGGCAGATCTCTATGTGTTCGGCCAGCCAGTCTACACAGTGAGACCTTGTCTCAAAAACAAAAACAAAGAAAAAAACTCACAAGTCTTTAAGGAAGGGCTATTAAACATCATTTAACTTTTTGGAAATGTGACTATTTCATGCGGGACTAGTTTTACATTAAATTTTAGTCGGGGGGAAAAAGACCACAAGTAGGTAGTAGAGAAAGGAGCTGAGGGAGGTAGCCAGTAAAGGTAGCTGTGGCAGATGGTCTTCACCGGTGAGTTGACAAGAAGGTACATCTGGGACCTCCGTGGATTTCGTTAGCCATAGATATTCCGCTGTCTGTACTAGTGGCCACAGTGCTGGTGGAATTCAGAGTGATGACTGTACATCATGCCAGCTGGTGGAGGAGCCAGTCCCGAGCTGGGCCCGCTCGTTAGAGAGCTGTGAAGTTCGGCACTCGTGCGTGATGAAGATCTTGGCGGCATTCCCTGTCTTGATTTTTGATAACTGTAGAAGAAAAATGGAGGCAGGGGCTGGGGAAATGGCCCCTATTAAAGTATCTTCTGACACAAGCATCAAGAGCAGAGTTAAGATTCGAAGCACCCACTTAAAAGCTGAATGCTGTGGCGCATGTCTGTAACCCCAGTGCTGGGTGAGGTGGGGTGGAGACAGCAGCATCCCCAGAGCTCACTGGCCAGTCATTCTAGTCAAGAGGTGAGCTCCAGGTTCAGTGAGGAACTCTGTCTCAAAAATTAAAGTGGAGAGTGATCAAGAGAGATGCTTGACGTTAACCTCTGGCCTCCACAGGTGCAGTCACACTCACACAGACCCCACCCACAGCCACACTATAAAGAAAACACGTGTAAAGACAAAGGCAAGTTCCTTAATGAACTCAATACAGTGAGTCTTCTGTTGTTTGTTTGTTGAGACAGGGTCTCCCTGTAGCTCTAGCTGGCCTGAAACTTGCTATGTAAACCAGGCTGACTTCACTCTCACACAGATGCCTCTGCCTCCCAAGTGCTGGGACTAAAGGCATGCACCACCACGCCTGGCTAGTAAGGCAACTCTTAATGCCACTGACCAGCATAGAGCATATAAAATGTTTTCTGAAATGGCCTCTGAAGAAGTGCGCTGTGATGTTTTATAAGAGAATCTTCTTTTCTAGATTTCTCAGCTTTTGAACAGAGTAGATTTGTCCATATCAGAGCAGAGTACCAAACTGAAGATGTCCCACAGAGACAGCAACCACCAGCTTCAGCTTTTAGACACAAAGTAAGTCATCATCTAATAAAGTTTTAGTTGAAGTTCTCAGTTTAAGAAATTCACATTTTTTTCCTCTTGGATTACTTTTTAAATATAATATCTTTATTTTGGTTAATTTACTTTCGAATATTTATTTTTATTTATGTGTATGTGTGCACGTGTCTATGTTAGAATGTGTATGTGAGTGCAGGTGCCCACAGAGGCTAGAGGATCCCTAGGCCATTAGATCCCCTGGGGCTGGAGATGCAGGCAGTTGTAAATCATCCAACATAGTGCTGGGAATAAAACTTGGGTCTTCCACAAGAGCAGTTGCATGCACCAACCACTGAGCTATGTCTCTAGCCCCCCACTTTAAAAATCTTTATTTGTGTGTATACATGTATGTCTGTGTGTGGATATGTGCACATGAATGCAGTGCCTATGGAGACCAGAAGAGGGAGTCAGATCTCCTGGAGCTTGAGATACAGGTGGTTTTGAGCCACCTGATGTGGATACTGAGAGCCGAACTCGGGTCCTCTGGAAGAGCAGCAAACACTCTTAACTGCCAAGCCACCTCTCCAGCCCACCTCTTGGTTTTTATTTATCACACAAAGTGGAAACAATAATGAAAACTGAAACAAAAAGTTCCTGTGGGATGTGCTGTCTCCTTTCCGTCACAATTTTTTCTTTTAGTGTTTGGATGATAGTCTATCTCTTCACTCAGTGTGTATTTGGTTTATTTTTGTATGTATATGTATGTGGTATGTGTAGGGGGGGGAGGTGGGTGTGTCTGTGTGTGGGTGTGTGTTCGTATGGAGGTGAGGGTCAACGTTGGAGTTGGATGCCTTCTATCACCCTGCACTTCCATTTTTCAGGTAGATAGATGTTATATATATTCTATATTTTCATTACATGTTAATATGAATAAGAAAAAAAGTGATGAAGGGAGACAGCATGCATTGATAGTTATTTTAAGAAATCTGGAAAGGGAGGGGACTAGAAGAATGAAAGGTTGGGGTGGGGTTGCTTTCTATTTTCTTTTTGATTTTTTTTGAGACAGGGTCTTGAGTAGCCCAAGCTGGCCTCAAACTCACTATGTAGCCGAAGATGACCTTGAATTTCTGATCCTTTTGCCTCCTCTACCTCCCAAGTGCTGTAATTATAGGCATGCTCCCAGGATCCCTGGTTTGTTTCCTGCTGATTTAAATTCAGATATGTCTCTATGGGGCAAGAGAGAAAGCAAATGAGCTTCTAGTCCTGCGAGATTTAATAAATGAGGAGGAAAGGCCAAGGGAAGGAGAGGATTCTGGGAGAACAGGTGAGGGATGCTATGTTCTCTGAGCCAGGAGTGTCATGGACCCTAGAACTGCAAAGGTTAGCACCTGGCATGGCTGTGTCAGTCACTGTGTCACCTCAGAACCTGTGGTGACAGCTCCTCATGGGTAAGAGCACCATCAGGTGCTTTTCCATTGTGTGTTCCTGTTCCCCAGCTTCATGTTGCATAAAGGTATGTCCTTCTCATCGAGTGGAGTCTGATGTTTAATGTCACTTGAAACTGTTTTGCATCAGCTGCTTACATGCCTTTTCCTTTTTCTTCCCCTTTCTTCTTCCTTCCCTTCCCTTCCCTCCTTTCCTTCCTCCGTCTGTCCATCTGTCCCTCCCTCTGCACGGAGTTGGCTACAACAAGAGCAAGAAAGAATAGAGAAAGCGCTTTTACAGAAAATTGATCAGCTTTCCCTGGTTGTTAAGGAAAACAGTGTAGGTATTGATATTTGGCAATAACTTAGTGACTCTCAGTGGGGGGGTGTTTGACTAATTCCTAGGGACTTAGCACTAATTTGTTTGGTACTGCCTAAAACTGTTCAGTCGTTTCCTGCCTCTGGGTCCATTTCTCTGGTCCTCAGGCTGCTTCTCCTACCCCTTCCCCCTTTCTCTTTCTCTTCCCCTCCTTCTTTAGTTCTGGAACTCAAACCCAGGTCCTCATGTGCACTGCTAGTTTAATTTCTTTTCCTGTTGCTGTGGATAAAATACTGTGACAAGTGCAACTTAAGGGAGAAAGGATTTATTCTGGTTCACAGTTCAAAAGTACATTGTGTGGAGGAGTCGAGTCAGGAAGAGCTTGAAGCACCTGGTCTCGCACAAGTAGGAAGCAGAGAGGGATGAATGCATGCTGGTGCTCAGCTAGCTCTATCCATTTATACAGTCCAGGATTCCAGTCAAGGAGAAGTGCCACCCACCCTGGGTAGGTCTTCCCACCTCAATTAACACAATCAAGATAATCCTTCACAGGCATGCCCAGAGACCCATCTCCCAGGTGGTTCTGGATTCTGTCAAGTTGACAACACTAACCCTCACATCTGCTAATCCTGAACTTTACCACGGAACCATGCCCCTATTCCCTGTTCTTTGCATTTTCTACAAAGACCAGGGACCCATTAACTTGTTTGGTTCACAAAGGCTAAACTGAAAACTCCAGTTAAGATTACTTTAAGTCAAGAGCTTAATGACCCAAACTGTCTGTCATGCATTTCTAAATAAAGCATAAAATGACCCACTTGATCTTGGTTTGTTTTAATGTCACGACCTGGTTTAGCTCTCACCGGTAGCTGTACCCCTCCAGGCCCTTCCAATGCACTGTAACTATAGAACACATCCACGCTCCCACTGGGACAGAACAGATCCACCATTTTCTTCCCCTTCACTTCTGCACCCACCCCCATGTCTCACACAGCTAAGTTTGCAGCACTGCCAAAAAATATAGTAAGAAAGTCTTGCATTTATCATATTCAAAACCAGTATGCTCTGAAATCAGTACATGGCAGGCAAATTTTGTTGGTTTGGGTGATTAAGCAGACCGCCTCCCTCACCTTCTCTTTCCCTGCATTGCTTCCTCCCGTGGGGCTTTGACCCAACAGAAGTGGCTGGTGCAGTTTGTATGTCTGACTGCACCCTCCAGGTGCAGAGCTGTTGACTTGAAGGCTGCCCTGAGTACCATTGTGAGTGCTCTGTTATGCTGCAGCCCCTGAAGTCTTGGTGTTCACAGTCTGGGTCACTAAAGCCTGCAGACACAGAGTCTCAGAAAGTACAGGCATGCAAAGAAAAAATAATATTTCAGATGTTTGAATATTCCCCCATCATTTCCTCAGATTTCTCATTGTTTTACACTTTGATTCATCCCAACACATTTGTACACATCGGGGTCTTTGGTTTACTGTTTATCTTTTTATACATCGGCTTAATAGCTAACAGCAAACCCCAGGATAACGGTGGCTTTAATAAGATGGATGCTTAATTCTTTTTCATGTGAAACAACTCTGCCTGTGGGCTTTTAAGGACTGAAGCTTGGCAGTCCTCAGAATCTTTTTAGTTTAGCTTTTTGCTGACCTCAGAGAGTAGCCCTTGTCCTCACAAGTCAAGATGACTGCTAGAGCTCCAGCCATTGACTGAATTCTAGAATCAGAAGGAAAAGGGAAGAAATAATATAGTGACCGTAGTTTAACTTCTCCTGGAAACAGTTACCTACACTTGTTCTTGTATCTCATTGGCTAGACCTTAATCATATGACCATACCAAACTCGGGGGACAGAGGAAAATGTAGGTTTTACTTTGGGTGACCTTGCACTGAATTGAAAGTTAAGTAAGAAACAGTTGAGAACAGAGCAGCCAGCAAGCGGCCATGGGGATTCTCCTCCCCACGACAGTTCAGTGCTATGGCGGGTGTGAGGCAAGGCACACCTCTTCTTTGCTAAGAACCAAGTGTAATTCTTACACCCCAGGGGGCCAGTGAAAGGGATATGGAGAAGAAGCTCAGCCAGATGTCGGCCAGACTGGACAAGATCGAGGAGAGTCAGCGGGAGAATGTGGGAGGACAGAAGACGAAGCAGGAAGAGGAGAAGGTACACGGGCGAATCAGCAAGCTGGAGTTACAGATGACCGAAGACATGAAGGAAATGAAAGCTGAACTTAACGCTGGTAGGCTGAACCCTAAACAGCTCGCATGGCTTATTTAGCTAAAAAGCTATTCATGAAGGTTCCCCTGAAACTGTGTCCAACCTTCGCTAATGTTAGTAACAGCAGAAAGGTCCTTAGGTCCTTTTCTAAGTAGCTTTGCTGTGTTGAACTAAAATGATAGTTTGTCTTCTTGATGGATTGATTGTAGTGCTGGGAATTAAACTTAGGGCCTCCCATATGCTAGGCAAGCACTCTACCAGTGAGCTATATTCCCAGTCCTAAAATGCTAGTTCAATTACACGTATATAAAGAGCCCTCCGTGAGACACAGGCAAACAAAACTAAAATTGCTTGCAAATGAGGTACATTTCCTTTAGTGCCACCTGCTGATGCTTTTCTGTTTGTAAGCAAGGCAATGTAGCTCAGAAGTTAGCATGTCTTTGAGAACCTTTAAAAAAAAGATTTATGGGCATTTTGCCTGTATGTACGTGTGCCATTTGTGTGCAGTGCTCCAAGGGGCCAGAAGAGGGCATCGAGTCCCCTGGAGCTGAAGTTACCTATGATTGTTAGCTATGTGGATGCTGGGAACTGAACCTGGATCCTCTGCAAGAGCAGCCAGTGATCTCAACCACTAAGCCACGTCCCTAGGCTCTTCAAGAGTGATTCTTTCATGCTTGTTTACAGGGTATGTCAAAGCTGACTTTAATGTCTTAGGACTGTCATATAAGGGATTGTGGCTTTGTTTTCTGGTGCTGTGACAGACTGCTTGAGACTGTTCTGAAGTCTCAGAACAAGTGCAGTACCTACTTGTGCCAAAGGCTTTTTTTGCTCTGTCATAGCATAGTGAGGGCATTCCCTGGCAAGGAAGTAGGCATGAAAGACAGAGAAAAACCAGGCTAAATTTATCCTTTTGTCAGGATAAGAGGCCAGCAGTATCATGTAACCTAGTCATTTCCTGAAGGTCTTGCTTTTTAAAGATTTGTTTATTTTGACATGTTTCATTTGCATGTATGTAAGTGTACCATGTGTGTGCAATGCCCACAGAGCCCTGAGAAGGGCATTGGATCCCCTGGAACTGGAGTTACAGGTGGTTGTGAGTCACTACATAGGTGCTGGGATCCAAACCCACATCCTTCACAATAGCAGCAAGTGCTCTTAGCCACTGAACCATCTCTCTGGCCCCAGTCCAGCCTTTTAATGGTGTTATGATGGCAACTAAATTTCAGTGTACTTTTTGGAGTGGACATGCCAATCACAGCAGAGCAGTGAGACTTACACTCTGAGCTCATAAATACAGAGCTGAGATCATGAAGCTCAAACTGTCCAAAGACAGATTTTAACTCAGTATGAGGCAAAAATGTCTTTAACTTAAAGGATGCTGGTAGTTTTATGAAATCCAGAGCTTTTTGTGATTAGAAGTGTTTAGGAAGAGATGGACTGGCCTCTCTCAGAAAGGAGAAGATGGGCCAGGCATGGTGGCACATGTATACAATCCCAGTGCTTGAGAGGTAGAGGCAGAAGGATCAAGGGTTTCAAGTCAGACTCAGCTACACAGCAAGCACAAGGCCAATTTGACCACATGGGACCCTGTCTCAAGAACCAAAACACTAAAAAAAGGGGAGATATTCTTATGATGTGATTAGTAGGAACTTCCAGTTCCTTCCCACTCTGTTTCCATGAATTTTTCTCTGTGGTATTTATGTTGGTTACATGGAAATAAAAGGTAATAGTTATTCTAAGAATAACTTTTTTTTTTGCTACCTGCAAAAGTTTATTATTCTTTTATTTAAGTAGAAGTTACAATTAAATGCAGCCCTCACAGCGTTGGTGGCCACCTACACTGAGCCTAGGTAAGATTGGTCCCATCACCTTTCAGTCGTGGATTGGTGAGGAGCTACGCTTCCATGCTGAACTCCTGGCTACTGGTGGATTCTGGGGGAGGGGCAGTTGTTGACTTCATTTGTACTTTGCTGAGCTATCCAAGCTCCAATGGACAGTTCCAAACTCATGGTCACACAGATGACCCTGGTTAAACTCAGTAGGTCTTAACAAAACAATAACAAAGTCATGAATGTAGGAAGGGGACTTTTAGGAAGGCGGGGGAGTGATGGTGGTGAGGAACGTTAGAAAGGGGTTTATAATCTGAGTACACAGTACATATGTATGAAGTTGTCAAAGAACAAGTTCAGTAAAATTTAGAAGTGAAGGAAGGCTGGGGAGATGGTTCAGCAGTTAAAATCACCTGCTACTTTTGCTGAGGACCTGAGTTCCCAGTGCCCTCACAGGGCGGCTTACAATAGCTTATAACTGTAGCTCCAGAGGATCTGATGCCTCTAGCCTTGCAGGAGCCTGAACTTACATGCAGATAACTCTCTCAGGCACATAATTAAAATAAAACAAATCTTAAAAAAGAAAGAAATTGCAGTTAAACTAAGGCTAGCCTTGGCAAATTAACAAGACCTATCTTAAATTTTTTTATTTTTTTATTTATTTATTTATTTATTTATTTATTTATTTATTTATTTATTTATTTTGGTTCTCTGGACTATTAGAATATGGAGCTTGACTATTTCATTGTTGTTTAAGTTTATATAATTTCTGCAGTGCTTAAGAGGGGGGAGTTGAGACAGGGTCTCATGAAGCCTAGGCTGGCTATAAACTCACTGTGTACCTGAAGATAATCTTGAACTCCTGATCCCTCTGCCTCATCTTCCAAGTGCTGGGATTACAGATGCATACCAGCATGGTTTTGCTCCACTCTGGGGATTAAACCTAGATCCTCATGCATGCTAGGCAAGCACTCTACCAACTGAGCTATGTCCCCAGCCCCATTTCCTTAGTGATTTGATTGTCAATCAATTCAATGTGCTAGTGAAGAAATACATATGAGGGACTGAGAGATGGGTCCACTGTTGAGTGCATGCTGCAGGGCTGGAGAGATGAATGAGCAGTTAAGAGTGCTTGCTGTTCTTCCAAAGAACTTGAGTTCAGTCCCCAGCACCCATTTCAGATGACTCACAACTGCTTCAGTGGATCTGATGCCCTCTACTGGCTTCCACAGGCACTGCGCCCACATATACCGCCCCCCCCATGCATATACCCATAATTTAAAAGCTTATTATTATTATTTTTTTCGGTCTTTTTGAGACAGGGTTGACTCCCTGTAGCCTCAGCTGTCCTGGAATGTACTATGTAGACCAGGCTGGCCTTGAACTCACAGAGATCCGCCGGCTCTGTCTCCCGAGTGCTGGGATTAAAGGCGTGCGCCACCACTCCTGGCCTAAAAGCTTATTTTAAAAAGAGCACACACTGCTCTTCCAAAGGACCTGAGTTTGATTCCTATCACCCATGTTGGGACGTTCATAATCACAAGTAACCCCAGTTCCAGGGAATCCAGTGCACTCATGTGCACATACATAATTAAAATTAAAAAGCTAGGGCTGGAGAATTGGCTCAATGGTTAAGAGCACTGACTGCTCTTGCAGAAGACCTGGGTTCAATATGAACCGTCCTTAACTCCAGTTCCAGGGGAATCCGAAGCCCTCACCTCCGTGGCATTGTACGACACGGGTGCACTCACATACATGCAGGCAATATACTCATACATATAAAAATAAAAATACAAAAAATAAAAAGCTAAATCTAGTGGCTGGGTGTGATGGTGCACGCCTTTTAGGCCCCAGCACTCAGAAGGTGGAGGCAGGTGGATCTCTGTGAGATCCAGGCCAACTCAAAAAAAGAAAAGGCACGTGTGAACCTTTTAAAAGAGTGTAGTTTTAGTTTTTTTTTTTCTTTTTAGATAGGGTCTCCCTATAGCCCCAGCTGGCCAGGAATTCATTATGGAGATGTGGCTGGCCTCCATCTCACAGAGATCTGCCTGCTTCCGTTTCCTGAGTTGAGATTAAAGGCATGCACCACCCACCATGGCTGGCATAATGCATCCTTTTTAAAACATATTTCTTTCTTTAATGTGTATAAGTGTTTGCCTGCATTAGTATACATGTAGCACATGTGTGCAGTACCCACAGAGATCAGAAGAGGGTGTTAGATCTCATGGCACTGGAGTTACAGACAGTTGTGAGCTACCATATGGGTGCTAGGAACTGAACTGGATCCTCTGCAAGAGCAGCCCTGACTATATATTTCTTAATGGAAGATCATAAAATGCTTTAAAAAATACAATTTCTCTTACTGTGATGGTATTTTCAAGGGCATCTTCTTATGCATGTAAAATATTTATGTGCCTTTTCCAAATAAAAACTCATATTATAAAAGCATGCTGATTTATACCTTGTGATTTTATTGTTATATGCTCTCCTTTTCCATGCCAATAAAAATTTTGTTTTTTAAATTAAATTTTATTTCTTATTTATTTTCTGTGTGTGTATGTATGTGTTTGTATAGGTGCGCACATGCCACAGCACATGTGTGGAGGTCAGAGGACAATTTGCAGGAATCAGATCTGTCCTTCCACAATGTGGGTCCCAGGGATTGAACTCAAGTTGTCAGGCCTTTACCCGCTGCGCCATCTTAATAGTCCCAATAAAAACATGTTTAATGAGTAATCTTCATACTTTTTTCATGAATTATCACATCAAATTTTCTGAGAGAAAATAAGACTTAAAAAAAAGCACTTAAAAGTCAGCAGAGAAACAATAATATAAAATACTTCTTTGGTAGAGATGTGGGTTTTAGTTTTGCTTCTTTTAACTTTTTATTTTGAGATAATTTCTAATTTAGAAAAACTATAAGAATAGTCCAAAAGCTACATATTCTATATTCATTCTCTGTTAACATTTTGGAATTATACTTAAAAGTCTGTGTGGGTGGGTATGGGTGCATATTTCCCTCTGAATCGTTTGGAAGTCACAGGAATGATGATGTCTCTTCATTATTTCAGAGAAAAAGCCCTAAGCACAAGGGCATTCGCTTCCAGGCCGGCAAACAGTATTAACATCAACGAAATGTTTTCCAATAGCCAGTATTCAGCTTGTTTCTTTAGCAATAAACCTTTCCCAATCCACATTTTTTCCTCTTCTTTTTTCCTAATCAATTTTTTAAAAGCTTTATTTTATTTATGTGTGTCTGTGTTTATGTGAGTGACCATGGAGGCCATAAGTGAATTTGGATCCCTGGGAGTTTCAGGGGTTTATGAACTGCCCCATGTAGAGGCTAGGATCCGAATTCCCGTCTTCTGATAGAGCTCTTAACTACTGAGCCGCCTCTCCAGCCCTCAAATGTTTTTTTAAATGAAAAACTGTTCAGTTGTATACATTTAAAGTGTGTGTTTTGGCCTGGAGAGATGGTTCAGGGCTCAACAGGTACCTGATGTCACGTTCCCCCAGTGGTAGTGGGGTAAGCTCTGACCGGTAGGCTAAAGGGGCTTCCACCAGATGTCTCAGCTACAGTAATCCCCTTCCGTTTCCAGGGAAGAACTGTGGAATCCTGTTGCCCCCATCAAACTCCCCATGGAGTTTGAGTTTCTCTTGATGAATTTTTGTTGTTGTCTTTTGTTTGACAGAATTTCCCTCTTCCCAACCCACCTGGAAGTCACTTTGTGGGCCAGGTTGGCCTCTGAGGCTGGGATTAAAGGCACACACCACTTTCTTGATGAATTTTTTGAGAAGCAGTTGAGAAGTCACTGTTGCTATAGGATGTGACAAGGCATTGCTTTCAAACCATTAACGCTTGGCATTTCCTTCTCCCGTCCAGGGTTCACAGCCATCTATGAAAGCATAGGATCCCTCAGGCAAGCTCTGGAGGCCAAGATGAGACTGGACAAGGATCAGCTGCAGAAGCAGATCCAGCAGATGCAGAGGCCAGAAACTTCCATGTGAAGAAGGACAAGAGAAGGACCTAACAGAAGAAGAGCGCTTGCTAGGAGCCCAACACCGTTGCAGCCAGGCCGTGGCTGCGTGCTTGATCCTTCCACCTAGGACGTGCATGTCCAAGAAGTGTGTTCTCATGGGTCTAAATGTTTACCTTAGGTCTTGAAAACGCCCTATCTTTAAAACTATTTAATGCAGTTTTTACCACTTTATCTCACTTATCTAAATTCAGTTGTGCCCCCCCGGCCCAGATTTTGAAAGGCTTTTATCTTTCATTTTATGAATGAAAATAATTTATTTTCAATGCTTCATGCTCTAGCCAAGATGACTATTTTGAAAAAAATGTCATGGTAATTTTTTAAAGTTAAGAAATGAACAAGTTGTCACAGGAATGTAATTCACCTCACTTTAAATTAAGAGAATCTCCCACTAGGTTTAGCATTCAACTTTTGAGTCCATATCTGGATTTTGTTACCACTGTCTGTGCATTTTTGATGTTGGTTATCTTACTGTAAATCACTTGTCTTTTGTAGAGAAGAGAATAACATTTTGGGGGGAAAACTTGCCATTTATATGATGAAAATACTTTTAAAAAATTGATAACTGCCATATAGATTGCAAATTAAATGGAAGTTGACGACATTTATCTAGCTACTACAAGGCGCAATATTTCTATCCACCTAGATACCAGCTTTTACTACTTAAAGCTATTTTTTGGATTATCCACAGCCTGCATAGCGATAGCCATATATTTAATAATGGGATGGTGGTTAGCAGCCTGTTTATCTCCCACTGAATTGTTCATCAATCACAACAGAATGTGAGAAATTTTCAGACTTTACAATTTATCTAAATGTTTCCAAAATTGGAACCCAGTGCTGGGGTTTATAGACACTGATCATAACTGTATCTTTGTGCCTTGGTTTTTATCTGTCAGTGTACTGTCCCCTGTAAAAATTTTATCAGCAGATTAGAAGGCATGGTTAAGTATCAGGATTATGATGTAAAAATGGGATCCTGTGTATTTTTAAATGTCCTTGAAGATTTTGTCACTGTTCTGACATGCCTCATTCAGTATTATTAATGGAATAGATACTCATACTTTTTATGGACAAAGAATCAAATTGATACTACATTTATAATACTGTGAAGAAACTTCCAGCCTGAGCAACTTTATACACAATAGGTGTTTTATTTTCAGCTGCCACGTTTGATTGTTGGTATTGTTTGTCCACCTGTGTAACAACTGGCAGTCAGACGCGCCGTTCTAAACTGTGAGGGTGCCCAGAGAAAGAACAGGAATACTTTAAAAATTTCTACAACAACACCATTTTGTTTTTCTTTTTCATTTGCAAGGACTCAGGAAAATAAAAGCATTTTCTATTTTTAGAATCCATCACAATGAGACTCCTAACTGGCTGTTACTGTTTACCTGTGTAAGATATGCTGCTAAAGAACATAAAATTTTACTCTCAGTAGCTTGGCAGTTTTTATTTTAATTTGGACTCATGAGAGGTTATGGAAGGAATATGTATTCAACATGCATTCCTTTCCCCCACGCCCCCAATCTTTTCATCTCTCTATAGGAAGATATTTCCACTTAGGACGAGGTAACTGGTGTTTTGTAATCAGAAAGCATATTTCTTTTTATGAATGACTAGCCATGATTCATGGAGTGCTCTGTGTTTGAGCACAAGCCACAGGACAAAGGGCCCCACCCTCTCAGTGTCTCTTTCCTCTGGGGAACCTAAGGAGGAAGGATAAACACATCTCACACCTGGGAGGAAGAGACAGGGAACACCAGCTGACTCTGGTCTGGTGGTTGATGTGAGCTGGTGGCCCGGCTGCTGGTGCAGTCTCTCAGGTGCTCAAGATGTGGCATGTGTGTATGACAAGTTACTGCTGCAGAAACTCTCCACCCTGGCTGTTGATGGGGTCCCCCGGGAGAGTTTAAAAGCTACTGACACTGAGCAATCTCCAGATCATTTGTGTCAACACCCTGGGGTTTCAGTGTGCAGCTGGGGTGGCCAGCCGTCTAGCAAGAACCGTGGAGTACTGTTCTCGCCAAAGTTCAAAAGAGAATCAGCTTCCCTGTCTTTTCCTTTACCAGAAATTTGCAATAAAAAGAATAAAATTTCCAACTAAATGTAGCGTATGATTTTTAAATTTTTAATCAATTTATTTTGTTTTATGTGTATGAGGGTTTTACCTGCATGTATGCATGTGTGCCATATGTGTGCAGTGCATGTGGAGGTCAGTAGAGGGAGTCAGAGTCCCTGTAACTGGAGTTACAGATGGTTGTTAGTCACCATGTGGGTGCTGGGAACTGAAAAGCAGTCAGTTCTTGACTGTTGAGCCAGTTCTCCAGCCCCATGGCTTATGATTTTTAGATTTAAAAAGGCTTTTAGTGTGAGGTGCAAACTCAGGTCAAACGCCTTGGGAAAGGTATCTTTTTTCTTGGTCCCTATAGGACCATCATCACAGACTGGGCCACCCATGGGTACCAGGGTTTTGGGTCGTCTCTGTTTCTGGAGTTATACCAGTGGGCAGTTCCTGGGTATATGCTGTGGACCTGTGCTGAGACCTTCGTGTATGCTAACTCATTTCACTTTAAAAGTGCCTAGGTAAGAACTATTTGTTTCTCACATTTTACAGAGAAAATTGAGTTGCTAAGAAATGAAGCAACTTGCTTCCAATCCTACAGCTCATAAGTAGGATCCCTGATGCTGGTAGGCAGCTGGCTTACATATGATAGACTGCTGTCCCAGTGAGCCATCACTCAGAACCCTATCTCTGTATAACCTTACCACTCTGCCATTCTACTGCTCTTGGGTTTTGTTTTAAATTTTTGTATATTTATTATTTTTATTTTATGCATATAAGTATTTTTTTCCTACATGTATGTAGGTGCATCTGTGTCATGCAGTTCCCGTGGAGCCCAGAAGAAGGTATCAGATCCCTTGGAACTAGAGTTATGGATGATTGTTAGTCAACATTTAGGTGCTGGGAACAGAACCTGGGTCCTCTGCAAGAGAAGCCAGTGCTGACCCATCTCTTTAGCCCCCCATTTTTTGAAGTTGGCCCTGAACTCAGCATGTAGCTGAGAATGACCTTGAAATCCCAGCCCTCTTGCCTCTACCTCTCCAGTGCTAGGATTAGTCGTGAGCCTTACCTTTGCTTTCTTTTTAACTTACTTTTAAAAATTTTATTTATTTGTGTGTGTGTGTGTGTGTGTGTGTGTGTGTGTGTGTGTGCGCATGGCTGTAGAGGTCAGAGAATAATTTATGGGAGGCAGTTCTCTCCTTTTACATGTGGGTTCTAGAAGCTGAACCTGGTCTGCTGGTAGCAGACACCTTCACCCACTGAGTCACCTTGCTGACCCAACTTTGCTTTTTTATTTTTATTTGCTTATATGTGTGTGCCTGTGTGTGTTTTGATCGTGTGTGTGTGGGGGAGGGTGCCTTTGGAGACCAAAAGATGATTCTGGATCCCGTGGAGCTGGAGTTACAGGAAGTTGTAAGCTACCAAACACAGGTGCTGGGAAACAAGCTTGGGTCTTCTGGAAAGAGCAGCAAATGCTGTCAACCACTGGGCTGTCTTGCTGGCCCACCATTGCTTTTTTATTTCCCTCAACTGAGAGTACATAAAGGGGCTCCTTATCAACTTTCCTTGGGTCAGATTCTTCCTCCTCAGGTTGAATCAATGGGAATTTGGGAAGTATGATCTGCTGGTACCAGGGGCCTGGAGGACTACAGCCTTCCACAAGCATAGGCTGAGCCAGCAGTGGACTGTGGCTTTGAGAGGTGGGTGGTACTGAATGAAAACAGGGCAGACCAGGAAAGAAGCCTCCACCCAAAGTTTGATTATAGCACTAGGTTTTCATTCTTAAAAATAAAAAGGTCATAACTATCTGTGACATCGGAGGTAACTGGAGTGTCTCTGAAGCTCCCCATGTCGAGCTGTGTGACCTTGTCCTCTCTGAATCTTGTTTTATCAGCATCAGAATAGAGATGATGATTTTTTTTTTTTTTGGGTCTTTTTGAGACAGGGTCTCCCTGTAGCCCCAGCTGTCCTGGAACTCACAGAGATCCACCTGCCTCTGCCTCCTGAGTGCTGGGATTAAAGGCGTGGGCCATCACACCCAGCTGGTGAGATGATAATTTTAAGGAAAGCTAATTTATGACTTTCAGAATGCTGAGGTGTGGCTGGAGATCTATAGCTCAGTGGTGGAGCACATGCCCTAATTTTGATCCTCAGCACTAGAAAAAAAAAACCTCAGGCAATTAAATATCAAATAATGAGAAATGGGGCACAGAAAGGGGTGGGGGGAGTAACATATGGTGATGCAATATAGAAGGTACATGGGGCTCATTGTTTTGTTTCAAAGTGTTCCATTAGCTGCTGGGGCCACGCTAGGGTAGTGATAATAATCTCCAAAGAAAATGATAGCCCAGTCTCAGACACAGGAAAGTGGTAGTGTCTGAAGAGAAACTCAGACAGACCAGAATGGGGACAGCTCCTGAATGGGAAAGAGAGGCCAAAGCTAGTCAGTCTTACAACAGGCAGGGCATCCCCAGACCTGAGTCAGGGTCAAGACCCCATCCCCTAGAGGGACCAGCGCTGAGAAGGGTGGGACAGAGGTTGGATAGAGACTGGCCCCACCCAGGAAAGGCAAAGCCTGATATGGAGTCTGGGGGTACTGAGCCCAGAGTCGAAGTTAAACAATGACATCTATAACAGGCTGTGGTGCAGCCCAAACGGCCATCTGGTGCTTGAGGTATAACCTGGATGAGTCTGTGTATATAGACTGGACAGACACAATCACATGTGCTGGGTGCTGGTGTTCCCTCAACTCAGACTCCCACTGAATAGTGTCATAAATGGTATGGAATTAAACCAACAAAAATGTACAGCAGATCCTGTTTCCTACTCTGGTTAAGGTAGTGTCTCAGTTTGCTTTTCTGTTGCTGAGATAAAACACTGACCAAAACCAGCTTGGGCAAAGGGTTTATTTGATTTACACCTCCATGTCACAGTCCATCACTGAGGGATGTCAGAACAGGAACTCAAGCAGGGACCTAGAGGCAGAAACTGGAGCAGAGACCGTAGAGAAACTGGTTTGCTCTTGGCCTGGGTTCAGCCTGCTTTCCTATACAACCCAGGACCACCTGCCTAGGGGTGGCTTCATAATGGGCTGGGTGCACCTACAGCACTCAACAATCAAGAAAATGCCTCACAGACAGGGCCACAGGCCAATCTGAGAGAGGAAATCCCCCAATAGAGGTTCCCTCTTCCCAGGTGTGTCCAATTGACACACCAGCCATGACACCTTCCTATCAATTTTGTGAGATAAGAAGTGGATCCTTCTATCCAAAGAAGCAAAAGCAGGGGGCTCAAAGTGATGTGTGGGCGTCTATGTTTATAACAGCACCCACAGTATCTGGAAGGTCCCTCACCGAAGAAGAAACTCAATATGGTATATACCTAAAATAAAATGTTCTCTAGACCCCAAATAGAAAGGGGACTCTAACACATGGCATAAACTTGCGACCATTATGCTCAAACCTGTCACAAAAGCATACATATTGTGTGATCCCACTTCTGTGAGGTTCCTAGGGCAGTCCAGTTCATAGAACAGTGAGTTTTGAGATCACTTCTGGAACCGGGGAAGGAGAGGTAGGGAGTTAGTGTTCCGTGACTGTGGAGGCTCAGGAGCAGAAAGTGAGAAAGTTCTGGAGTTGGACTGTGGTTGTATAACATGGCAAATGTTCTTTTTTATTAAAAATACTTATTTTATTATTTTTAATTATGTATCAGTATATGTCTCTGTATATGTATAAGTCTTTGTATATGTGCATGTGTATGTATGAAGGTACCTGTGGAGGCCAGAAGAGGGAGTTGGATTCCCTGGAACTGGAGTTATGGCAGTTGTGGGCCACCCAACTTGAATACCAGGACCTGAACCCTAGTTTCCTGTAAGGGCAGTATGTGCTCTTAACCACTGAGCCATCTTTCCAGCCCTTGCAAATGTTCTTTTTAAAATGAGTTTTTAGGGGTTTGCTCTTGCAAAGGACCCAAGTTTGAGTCCCAGCACCCACACGGTGGCTAACAACCATCCATAACTCCAGTTCCAGGGAATCCAAAGCCTTCTTCTGACCTCCTCAGGCATTGTATGACATGAGTGCACTTACATACATGCAGTCAACACACTCATATATGTAAAATAAAATAAAAATAATAAATAAAAAATGCTTTTAAAATAATTTCTAAAATTTATTTTTATTTTAAATTACGTGTGTCTATGCATGGTTATTGCAAGTGAGTGCAGGTGTCTGAGGAAGCAGAGGTATCAGGTTCCCCAGGACCTGGAATTACAGGCAGTTGTGAGCTGCCTGACAAAGTTGCTGGGAATTGAACCCAGATCAGCTAGAAGAGCAGCACCCACTCTTAACCATGAGCCATCTCTCCAGCCCCTCTGCAAATATTCTTAGTACCACTTTAACTGTGTACTTACACTGACAAATATTCACACAAATAAACGTATTTAAAAATTTAAACATAGTTAACATGGTACATATTACATATACCTTACCATAACAACAACAAAAAGCACTGGGCTCCTCAGCCCTTAGCTGAGGCTTCTAATAAAGGCTGTGGTTCTGGTACTTTCTCTACAGCATCTTGAGGACACTGAGCCTGGGGTACCCAGTGTGTCTTGGCCATATTTCTGACCCACAGAAACCATGTGATAATGAATACTTGTTAAGTAGGGCTTGATGGGCACATGCCACTTTAAACATTTATTTATTTATTGGTTTGGATTTGTTTGAGATTTGCTTGTTTTTTTTTTTTAATCTTTTTTTTAATTGATTTTTTTTTTGTATTTCATACAGAACATCCCAAACAATCTTGTTCATCTTTATACCCGCATCCCAAATGGCACCCTCCCATAACACCCCCCAACACACACACACTGGAGCCCATATACTCTGTCATCCCTGTTACTGTCCACTGTGTTGGCAGTGTTTTTTGAGACAGAGCCCCACTGATAGTCCAGGCTGGCTCATTCAGCTTCCTGAGTGCTGAGATTACCAGTGTGTACCATCATTCCTCACTTTATGGGGCACTACAGGTTGAACTC